CGCTGGCACATGCATGACTTTTTCCACTCTTTCCTGATTGTATTCCGAGTGCTGTGTGGAGAATGGATAGAAACCATGTGGGACTGCATGGAGGTTGCAGGCCAAACCATGTGCCTTATTGTTTTCATGATGGTCATGGTGATTGGAAACTTAGTGGTATGTAGCCAAAGTAATTTTACAGTTAATTTAGAATATGAAAGGTAAGAGAACCAGTAATTAATTATAAAAGTATTATTAAATATGATTTTTATTATTTGGATTTGTTATGAGTATGGGTTTTGAAATGGAGTATTCTGTTTGTTAGATTTTTGATCTTATCTAGAGTCCTTGGCTTGGAGGATGACCCCCTCAGGGGTCCAGAGTGCAGTTCAGAGGATGTGGATGAGAGCATGCAGCTCCGGCTGCTCGGGGTGTTGTGGGCTACTCCTGCTTACCTAGAGAGGGAGAGAAGAGCAAGGGCACCCTGTGTTGGACTTCAGAATGGAAGTTTGCTATTTGCAGAAGGGGATATAGCAGGGCCTTTTCTCCCTAACTGCTTTAGTCATTGCTTCCAACACACTTAGGCAGGTTATTGGGTCTTTTAAAAAATATTTTTTCTGATCTCTTCTGTCTAAATGACTGCTACTGCATTCTTAAGACTCTGAAATGTATGCCATTTTGAGATCTGCATGCTGCACCACCAGCATTTTACCCAAATGAAGTAAAGAAACTTGAATTAGAAGGAAGTTGGTATGCAGAAAAAAACCCCAGCTTCAATTACTTCAGGTTTTCTTTTACTTCTTCACTTTTTTTGCTTGGTATTTCATAAGTGCTTTCTGCAGATACTTCTAACATGGCTTGTATTATATCTGCTTTTTTCTTTTTCAGATGAAAGCATCAAATTTGCACTAGTTTGTATAAATTTATCTTTTAAAATATTTTATTTTTTAGCTTGCCAGTATTTAAGACATTAATTGCTCTGCCTATTGGTCTGATTTTCTCATTCTCTCTGTTGTTTTCAGAGGAGAAGAGATTTAAATTTTAAATTTTAAATTAATTTTCAGTAGCAGAAGAGATTTTAAATTAGTCATCCTGTAAGTATTCCTTAAGAAAAAAATTCTGAGAGGAATAAGGTAAGTATCTTTAAACCAAGCCAACCCTGCATCTATTTGCACAGCCACTTGCTTCAGGATTTTCTACAAATCTATTGTCCTATAATGAAGAGAACTGTGAAGTTGTTTGATTAAACTCCATAAGTAGTTTTCTAAACCAGAAGATTGAAGTTTGTAGAATGAAGTACCCACTTATGTGAATATTTCCACAGTGTTTACTATATTCTGTTTTATTCCATAGCTCTAGGAGAACTTCTGCATGAGCAGAGCTCCATGCTGGACATTCAGGACTGTTTTGTGCATTTGTCTTCTTGTGTTCCCAAAACATTTTTTAATCTTATCTTCCAAGCTGATGGAAGAGCTGATTTGAGGATTTTAAGAGCTGGTACTCTGCTGCTTTGGCATTTGAGTTCCTGGTAACCTCTGGGCTTTTGTAACTGATGCATGTTCTATGTTTTGTCATGCTGTGGGAAAAGGGTGACTTGGGGATTAAAAGACAGGGTACATTCTTCATTTTTTAAGTCACATACAGAAGAATTGTTTGTGTGAGTTTGGACTAACACATAGAAAATCTGTTTTTTGCACAGTTTAGAGTACTGCAATTTGCCAGAAAGGTAAACATGTTGAATCTTTGGTACAGACAGTACCAAAGAATCATTAATTTCTGACTTTCTACAAATATAAGCAATGTAAAGCCACAAATCCCCTCTGTTGAGGTATAGGGAAGGTGTTGTACTTAAATTGTATTTGCATTTTATTTACTGTGTACTTTCAGAATCGTTACTGTAGATGAAAACACAAAGCCTGTTTTCATAATGAGTTCATAAGAAGCATGTGAATGAAAAATGGAAAAAAATCAGCTGTTGTCTTTGCCTTTTTTTTTTTTTTNTTTTTTTTTTTTTTTTAATTAGGTGCTGAATCTTTTTCTGGCCTTGCTGCTGAGTTCATTTAGTTCAGACAACCTTGCTGCTACAGATGATGATAATGAAATGAACAATTTGCAGATTGCTGTTGCAAGAATTCAGAAAGGAATAGATTATGTGAAGAAAAAAGCAGGTGAATGTGTCCGAAGGTCTTGTTTGGGAAAACAAGCTGCTGTAAACCAAGGAACAGCAACAGATCAGTTGAATGATGAGAGAAAGCATATTTCAAACTGTACCATCACTGAACGAAGGATAGATACAAATTGTAGCAAAAATGAAAATGGAATGGCTACTGTTATAGGTGGCAGTGATTATACATCATTCATAAACAACCCAAACCTTACTGTTACAGTACCAATAGCTGTTGGAGAGTCAGATTTTGAACGTCTGAATACAGAAGAGTTTAGCAGTGACTCAGATTTGGATGAAAGCAAGGAGGTAAAATTCTAAAATTTTATATTTTAGATGAACAAATTATACTAACTTTATTGTTTCAAGTGTAATTCTTCCTGCTTAGAAATGCAAAGCAGTTGTAACTCAAGATTCTTGGACTGTACAGAGAGTGAATAATCTGAAGTGGGAAAGTGGAGTTCAAGAGAGTAGGAAATCCTGGAAGAACTGTATACATTTATGTGAATCCATTTATAAAGACATTTGTAAAGCAAACTACCAAAGTGTTAGTTGAATAGAGAACTTAGTATATATGTACAGAATAAAAAGTGTCAAAAGACTTTGTTTTTTTCTTGTAATTGCAATGTTTCTATGAGCTAAATTTAAGTAAACTGCTATTTAAAAATATTAGGGAAGATATTAATAAAGAATATTAATAAGCTTAAAAGAAAATCAGCATTTCTTTTACTGGATAAACTTAACAGAAGTGCTGACTCAGGATAATGAGAGCAGTAGCAATAGTTTTCATATTCCGAAATCAAAATAATGGGGAAAGCCAAGGGAGCAATGTTTGTATTATAATGTGAATGTATCAACTAAAACCTCAGTAAAAAAACAGAATTACTGATGAAAAAAAATTAATTTCTTATTTTTTGGGGGAGTTTTAAACCAGTAATTTCTAAGACAACCGCCTCATTTTAAACTGGGTCATCTTTAGGACAGTATTAATTTGTTAGCAACTTCAGTCTGAGGGGAAAAGCAAAGTCTTGGATTTCAGCAGGATTTTGAAAGACACTAAAAATTCAGATTGCAATCTGTGGCTCGAGCAGACTGTGTCTGGTATCACCACCTCTGGCACCTGAAGACAAAAGGACATAAGTAGAATATCATCGCTTGTGCAGACAGCTGTACTCCAGTCTGGATTGCTTTGTCTGTATTGTTTTGGTTTTTTGGTGGTTTTTTTGGTTTTCTTTTTTTGTCCGTGTGTGGATGGTTTTTGGGCATTCAGTTGATGAGTCTGGGAGATTTTTGAGTGGTTATGGGCTTGTTAGGTTTTCAGGTGTTTTGTTTTGAACTGGCAGTTAATTTGCCAGTATTACTTCTGAAATTTAGAAAATAAGTTCATTCCTGGGAAGTGCAGTGAAATTAAATTTAGAAAGGTGTAACTAAATACTCTTCAGGTGTTTCTTTTACTGCAGAGTACAGTGTTCAGTAATATTACACTAATTTTTGTTATTTCAGTAGCTTGTTTCTTGATCCTTGATTTGTTCCATCTACATTTTGGAGATTGTGTTACTGCAGATGTTACATTGACCAGTCAATTGAAAAGACTGTAGATTACTAAGAGGCTTCCTTAAAGCAAAGCAGACAGTATTATTAACCCATTTAAAATAGAAACTGCTCTATGTAATGAAGCTATAATGTTTGCTGAATAGATACGACAACTTTTACATATTATTTATCTGGCTGAAGGATACTGTATTTCTTAGTTTTTTAATAAAACTTGGATTTTGTGGAAGGAATATTTAATGAATCCAGATTATTTAACTTTACCACTTGCTTGTAAATTAGCCTTCAGTTGAAGACACATATATCTTCAATATTTTATATTTTAGAATTCATTGACAAAATCTCTGCCTTCTTACCTCTGATATTCAATATGATACATAAGCACTAGCCATTTATAAGGTATTGTTACCTAGTATCAGTTTTGACTTGCTCACATTTGCAAAACTGGCTGAGAACTGGCAACAACAGGAGATACATAAACTAATAAAACCCCCCTTATTTCGTGTACACTCCTTCAGAGTCAGTAGGGAAATTGTCTTTCATCTTGTAGATTAGTTCAGCTCTTTCTTTCTGACTTCCCCTTTACATGGAGCAGTTTGTGTTGGAGTTGTTACATAGCTACATTATTTCATGAATCCTTGAGAAGCCATTGCTAAGAAGTGAAATCAGATTTATACCAGAAGACAAATTGAGGAACCTACAGGTTTATTGCTAAGCATGAGGTTTTGCTTTTCATTGTTATGTCTGCTACAATCCATAATGAACCTTGAACTGTTGGAAATTTTTTTAAAATTATTCAGTTAAATATTTAAAGATGCTGGGAAAAATTTCTTATGCAGAAGTTTCCGTTTTTAACATGGTATGATTTACTTTTTGTTTTGCCTGCAGCTCTTTTCTGAAAGAAAGGACCTAGATGTATCCTAATTAGCATCTAGTGAAGACCAGGAATAACCTTGAAAATGAAATGCAAGGAGAAATATATTTCTGTTGTTTTAAATGTCTAGTTAATACCACTTAAAGGATA